GATTGTCTAAAATTGTGACCGTTATATGCATAAGTTTCTTAGGAGGCCTTGATACAAAATGGCCGCCGATCTCATCCATCAAAAATTGTCGCCACTGTCTCTATAAAGTCATTGTAATACATTATCCCAACCTATACTATAACTTTAATACATTATGCCATTGCGGGGCTCTACCGGCAATTGTAAGAAGAAATCGCAGATTATTGAGAAAGATGCGGGTTTTATTTTTCCAATTTTCCGTCTTTATTATCCAAAAAATTGAAAACTAATACAATTGATTGATGTAAAAAAAATGTTTATACAGAAAACCTTAATACATTTTTGCTCTAAACTAATTTGGGGACCAATAATCGCATGTTATGAAATTTACATTGAAATCCCTATGATGCGTTACGCAAGTCACCACCCTGTATAGATAAAACTACGCTAATTTTGAATTTCATGCAATTCGGTCCATAACTAATGGAGATGTCAAAAAGGCATTCTTTATTTTTTGCCCTGATCTACAAATATGATAAAGAATCCACCTGCAAAGCGTAACAAAAAAGTTAAAGGATATCTAGATATTCTTCGAGAAACTTCAGGCAATTTTATGAAAGTCGTTACAGATGCAATCTCCATTATAATACTGGATACAAATTTCTCATGTAAGTGCATAACACATGACAGGTTACAGCACGTGCATACAGCTGCAGAAAGCAGGTCACTGGGGTCATCGGGAGGAAGCCATAAGCCAAATCCGTCCTGGAACTGGTATAAATGATGATGACGTTTGTAGTGGGTGATGAGGAAAATTTAATTGACAAGCTCAAAAAGACTAACGACTTTATTCGTAAGTACCTAGGGAACGTGCAGAAAATTTTGCGTGGGTAATTCATTGTCTGGACAAGAATTTATTACAATCGGACTATTTTTCCGAAAACTAGTTGTAAATGCGGCCTTTTCATAAAAGACCACCCAATACCAAATCGAGACGAAATCAGAATTTTTTTTCGCTATCTTTAGGGGTGATCCACCTTGGGGTAGAATTAAAATCGGAAAGGGTGCGTATCCAATATCATATACAAAGACGATGCCTCTTATGGTTCTCGAGAAGAGCATTTTTGTGGACACATTATTGTATAGCCCTTTATCGCCCGATTTTTCTGGCATAACTCAAATGTAACACCCTGTACCTACACTGCAAATGGTACTATTGCCAGCAAAATTGCCCGTTTTTGTCTCCTGCCAAAGTTCTCATAGACGAAAGTTTAGAATAAATAGGTACTATATAACTTTCAACCCCTTTGAGGACTTGTCGACTTAACGGAGTAGGTACTTAGGTAACATCTCCCTAATTCAAATGTCCTCGTGCCCGTATTCGTTGTAAGTAATTTGCTTTCTATAATCGTAAATGAACGATGACAGCAACATAGTTTAAAGGGGGTTATTTTAATATCGAGTGTTGGAACGGTACCAAAACCTATTAATTTTGTATCTTGATGAAACCTCTTAACCTCCCCTATTCCCAATCCGGTAAATCTCCTTTCTACGGAAAATAGTGGTATATTATACAACATTTTACAATAAATCACCCTAAACGACAGAGGTGCTCCGAAAACCGCATAAGTTTTGCATAATAATAGGAAAACCTCTTAAGTGATTTTCAAAATTTCCCTCGCCCAATTTCCCTTCTCGTATAATTTTGCATTCAAGAGTTTATAACAAAACAAGAGAGTTGAACTTCAGGCTTTGACCTTAAGCAAGGCTATCAAGGCTATTTTTTAATATAAATAAATAAAAGTGCATTTGCATAAAGACAAATTATGTTATAGAACAATTGAAAAGGGCAATAAATTAGGGGCATGACATTCAAAGTCAAAACAATGGAACGCGTCCCCAATACAATTTCGTTTTCACACCTACGGGAAACTAAAGAGGTTTAATACGTTCAAATAAATAAATGTTTAGATAGGCCGCAACCAACGCCGAGTCTTTATTTAAATTTATTATTGGAAGAAGCGTTTTAAGAAAAAAAACCTGTAATTTCATGCTTAAGGTAAAAAAAAGAGAATTTTGTAGGAAATGTTGGCACGCACCTCCGAACTTCTGGAGATGTTGGTAAACTCCTCGACTTGCGTACTCCCGAAGTGTTATTACCCATGATTATATAAAACGCACGAAACGACGGTGGCAGTTGCACTGACACGAGCACCCTAACAATGTGAAACTGCATCTGCCATCGTGCCCCCTACTCCCCCTAAACGTGCATTTGCATCTCAATGGACAACTGATGCTGTGTGTGTGTTTGATTCTTTTCCAGTAGTGGTATAGTATTTTAATATCGAATACCGAGAAGTTAAATGAAGCACGAGCGCGACGTCGATCTTTTATTATGGAAATTGCTTGTGCATGTTCAAGATGTTACACAAAGGGCGTTAATGGATTTTTTAAATCGAGAAAAATCTCTCCGAATCTTACGAATACAAACTAGTTTATCGATTGGGCGATTTTACGTCTGCAGGGATTTTATTTATAACATTACAAGATGCAAGAATGTAACAATTCTTTCCAAAATTACATGACCCACTGAAATTACCACTTTCACAGTGTAATAAGTGTAATGGTGGGTTGATTATCATTATCGTTTTAGCACTACCATTAGTATCATTAAGAAACAGCCACGTTTCGTTTCGTTAGTTAGTGAGCTTTGTTTCTATTGGTTATTTCTTAAGGATCTAATGATTAAGTTTCCATAATGCTTCTTTCCAAACAGAAAAAAACTAAAAGTATAAACGGCCAAAATTACCAAGAACTTATTGACTCTCTATTGAGTTGAGAGAGGATAACAAATCAACACCACGAAAAGGAGATGCACAGAACAAAGTAGTGAGCAAAATCCGAAGATGGGAGAATAGTTATTTGTACTAGAGAAGACAGTGGAGTATTTCAACTCGAGTTCAAAGTTTGACATATGCAATAATGAAGTTTGACACATGTCACATAGCATTCTAGATACGGGATGTTTCAATTTTAAATGTCATAATAAGATTAATGCAGCAATTGTTTTTTTACTTTCCTCACTAGAGAGGAAAATCACATTTTCCTCACCATTTTTAGAGACGAAAGTAGCTGTTGCTAAAGTAGTTTCAGAAAAAAAATGGAGACCGATTTTTCTTGCTATAATAAACTGATCTGATACCTAACGATATCACGTATTGTACAATACCGGGGTGGTGCACGGTAAGTAGCAACATAGGGATTTAACATGGGAAATTAGTTTTATGCAATATCCTGCCGATTAATTTAATCCCGAACGTTTATTAGATTTAGATTTTTTTAACTTTATTTATTTGTTTATTTGGTTAAAATATCGTTGATCATTTAGGTTTATTTTACTTCAATTAGATTTGAGGTATCGCTCTTTTAGAGTGGTTGTCAGAATTTTGATTGAGAATTGTCTATCGCATTAGTAAAGGTGTAGTGTGTTGTGCACGAGGGGGTTGAACTAATTTTTTTTACTCTCAAGGGGATCTTAAGGAAAGAACGGTATAGTCGTAGTGGTTTAATATTCCCAAGAGAATTAAATAAACACATATTCGTGCTGCATATACAGAGAAATTCTTTTAAAACAACATACGATACGTATAATTTCCCTATGTGTCCTTTTAAATGGACCATATCACAGCATAAGAAACTTTAGATCGGATTTTAGAGAATTTAAGTGTGTAACTGACCGATTCCACTCAAAATTTGGAAATTTGGTACTTTCTTGAACTACAATTACAATAAATAAGAAGGAATTCATTAGTAAGAAAAGTTTTTGATGCGGAGTTTCTTATTTCCTGCTTTGGTGAAACAGTCAGTTTCCATATCGCACCCGGCACATCCGCTTTAGTTGCTATAATACCGTTATATATTTTTATTGAAAGAGGGAAAACGATCCGAAACGAACTGTCGCAGGAGGGTTGGCTGGTTTCGGGATTCAACAGTAAAATATATAAAGCAAATACATAAGAAAGAAACGTTCTTATAATTCAATTTCATGGAGGTAGAATTAAGACAGTAGAATCGCTATTAGCATATCCATATTTCATTAAGAAGTGTCTAATTTTCTTGATGATTGAGAGCATTATGTAATATAACGTATTACCATTGAGGGATCTATACAGGGTGGTGACTTAGATATAATTCCTTTGAATTTTTTTTCGAAATTGGTTTCTAGTCTATAACTTTTGATTGAGAATTCTGATCGAAAAAGTACGAATTGTTTTGGATTCTACGCACCAAAATTAATAAGGAAAAGTGTTTTCCCGAGAAATTTTGGTGCAGTCGATTTTTGGAAAAAAGGAAGGTTATACACTGCCTCTTTTTTTGCCCCGAAAAAAAAATTGTCTCAGATCGACCCGGAAAAAAATTTTTCTTATAGAATGTGACCTGTAGAATCCATAATTTCAAACAGTTCCAAGATTGGGCTACTAGTTCAAAAGTTACAGGAGGCAAAATCCGATTGTTACAACAAGCCGATTCAAATTCAGCAGATTTTGTATAAATTCACGCAGGAGATCGATTCGAACTGCAAGTACTTTAGTGGAGAAGTTAACAATTTGTTTTCGATTAGATCAAGCAAAATGAGCACTTGAAGGAAGGTACGCATCAAATTACGCACTTCAAGTAAATTCAAAATTTATTTCACCTATTGCAAGCTATGACCGCAAGTAAAACAAGAAATCCACCTTTTGAATTAAGTTTTTTGTGCAGGTGAGCATGTTCAAACTACAATAAATGCAAATTCAAGCTTCTGTTAGGACCTGGTCGATACCGAACTCATAATTAACATACAAATGTTAATGCAGACTCCCCCGAGCCAGTATGAAAATCGTTAATTTTATTTATGTAGCCCCCGGGACTACAAATTGTGATTAGCGCCGGTTCAGTTTACGAAACGTAATTTATGCAACTGAAAACCCCTGCTGTAGCGCAATCCATCGTACGCGACGCGTGTATTGTGGGTTACATACCTGTTAGGCGTCATGTCGATCTGTTGAAATTGCTGCTGCTGCTGTTGAATGTGATGGGCCTTTTGTTTTGTAGCCTGTTTGTGCCTCGACAACGCAAAGAAAAGGGCTAGAACAGCTTTAAGTCTGCCATCCCTTAAATCTTGTCCGGAGACGCTCTCGACGCCTGATACGTGCTGCGTGCGTAGAACGCTCAGGCAAATGTTAATGTTGTCCAACTGAAACAAAAATTGTTGTTAATTTATTAATTAATCATAAATTATCGTTTTCTAAGACGCAGAACCAAACCCACGATTTGAAGTGCCAGGAATTGTGCGATTCCAGTATAACATTAGTCCAGGCTAAATAGCTCTAAAATGATTTATTTTCAAAAAAAATTAGTTACCGGGCGAAACCAGGTTTTTCAGGCAGGTGAAATGAATAGAAATTGGAAAAAAATAATTAAAACAGTTGAATTTTTCCGCGGGTGAAATTACGGGGGTTGAAATGGGTGGAAAGTCGTATTTTGCAAATTGTGGCAAAACTATTGATTTTAGACGAAAATGTTAAATGTAAAAGTTATAGAGATTAAAAAAATGAGCAACTTTTGTATGTACACTATTTTCACATAACCTCAAATTTTCCTAGAAAAACCGGAAAACTGTTTCTTTCGTTTTTTATTCTTATTTTTGCGAAAAAAGATCGTAGGGGTTTGAAATTTGGAGGTAACATAACCTGTTTTATGATAAAACAGAAGATAATTGTTTGGGCCTATGAAGTTGAACCGTTTCCAAGATCTCACGATTTCTGAAAAAAATCTCCTCTTTTTCAAGAGGATGAAAAATTTATTTTTTTCATCGTACAGAGGTGCACGGGGTAGCAAAATTTTCGTAACAACTTACATTTTAATAATCAAAAATAAAAAATATTATTCCAATAGAAAAATTTCAAGAAAAGCGGCAAAAACCGAGGGAACAATTTTAAGATACACCGTTTTTGACAGTAGGTAAATAGGCTTTTTTGCAAATAAATTAACGTGTTGGTTCCGCACTAATAAAAAGTTTTGGAAATCTGTCTTCTCTCTCCTCTTTAATGTTGCTAAAATATTTTCTTTGTTTCCCAGTGCCCAACTGCCTTAATTAAAACATCTTTATGATTACATTTTTCTGCGCATTTTTACTGCAATAAAAGCAATTCGAAGTAAAATCGAATTCTTTTGCTTCCTGAACAATATGTTTTTGTTCACTTTCTCTCTTCCTGCCTGGTTTACAGCTGATGGGAATAAGCTGGGCCTGTTGATCGTTAATTTACAGGAATTATGAATAAAATCCGCATAAAGTTTATTCCTGCAGGTTTGACATCTCAAATCATTTGCTTTTGGCCGGTAAAACCAACGTTCTTATTGCAGATTTTGCAAGTTTATCAACAGGCCCAACGCAATTGCATCAGCTATAAAACAAGCAGGAAGAAGAGTCAGTGAACAAAAATAAATTGTTCAAGAATCAGGAAGCAAGATACATAATTCGATTTTATTTCGAATTGCTTTTATTGCGGTAAAAATGCAGAAAAAAGAAATAATAAAGATGTTTTAACTAAAACAGTTGAGCATAAGATAACAAAAGAGAATATTTAGGCAAACATTAAAGAGAAGGAAGAAGACAGATTTCGAAAAAATCTTTATTAACATCCAACATGTTGATTTATCATGTCAAAAACCGTGTATATCTTAAAACTGTTTTTCCGGTTTTTGGCGATTTTCGCAAATTTTTGCTATAGGAATAATATTTTTTATTTTTGTTTATTCAAATATAAGTCTTCCCGAAAATTTTGCTACCCCGCGCACCTCTGTACGATGAACAAAAATAGATTTTTCATTCCCTTGAAAAAGAGGTGATTTTTTCAGAAATCGTGAGATCTTGGAAACGGTTCAACTTTATGGGCCCAAACAATTATCTTCTGTTTTATCATAAAACAGGCTATGTTACCTCCAAATTTCAAACCCCTACGACATTTTTTCGCAAAAATAAGAATAAAAAACGAAAAAAACAGTTTTTCCGGTTTTTCTAGGAAAATTGGAGGTTATGTGAAAATAGTGCAGATACAAAAGTTGCTCATTTTTTTAATCTCTATAACTTTTACGTTTAACATTTTCGTCTAAAATCAATAGTTTTTCCACAATTTGCAAAATACCACTTTCCACCCCTTTCAACCCCCGTGATTTCACCCGCAAAAAAATTCAGCTGTGTTCATTATTTTTTCCCAAATTCTATTCATTCCACCTACCTGAAAAACCCGGTTTCGCCCGGTAACTAATTTTTTTCATACAAAAATATTATATAGCCTGGACTAAATTTTAAAATTAAGGGATTAAAGGACTAAATAAGGATCTTCTTGTTATTTCCAGTGTTCCCATTTCCGATTCTAATCAATTTTTTTCGAAAGGTATTTGAAGTAAGATCATAATATATAATGTTGTGTAATAAACCTCCTTTTTATTGGAGCAGTAAAGTTTCATATGAAATACGGCATTTTACCGACATTTGAAATAAAATTTATTCTGATGTGTTGATGTATCAAGCTATTATAGGAAGAAGCATAGTGGGATTAATTCTGGAAGTGAGATTTTTTTGCTAATGGATTAGTTCTCACACTTTTGTATTGCGATACATTCAGCGTAATTTTAGGGAATCCGAGGATTTCGAGTGGATGCAGTGAATTTTCAGTTGGTGGAATCACCTGCAAGTTTCGAAAAAGGTTGAGGGGCCTTTTTCTATTCGAGCATGCTGGATTTTAGTTTTAAAATTTGTGTAGAACGAATATACAGTGCTCCCCAACTCTTTTTTGGCCCACGTAATGCCCTCCCGTATAACTAACTCACTGTAGTTACGTGCCTGCAAGAGCTCGTCTAAAAATCTTATGTTTGTGAGGAAAAAAAGGTGTAGAAAACGGATCTCTCAAGGAAACTTGCTGCAGACGAATTCACTCCTTCGGAAGATTTTCGCTCAAGAGGATATAGTCCATACGAAAATGCAGAAAGGTGAATTCGTCATGAGAAACAACCCCTCTAAGAGGGATATGTACGTAAATTTTCACCTTAGAAACATCTCTCAAAGAAAATTGGTTCTTGTATTTGAAACCGCAAAAGTCACAGCGAAAAATTCGCTCAATCGAAATCCAATATTTACCGTTGATTAGTTTTTTTGGCCGCTGGGCGGTGGTCTTTATTACATCAAAATTTGTACTGGAAGACAATTCGCTACTCCGAAATAGTGAGTACGCAAATTGCTTTTAATAAACGATGCGAGGTGAAAATCACTCAAGTTAAAAATAGCAAATGTCACGTGCGAAATGGTATATATTCCAAAGTATTCACTTTGCCCCTTTTCCTGAATACTTTTAATGGATTGATGTGCTTGTTGTATGCAGATAGGCTACAAAGAACACGTTTATTATATAAACGCACGCTATTAAGAAATCTAAAGTATTCCTTAACGGTATCATTGCGCCCTCCTGCATCTGATAAATGGTTATCCACTGCGGCGTTTCATAAATTAATTTTTATTACGTACAATATTGCAAGTTTTTAGGGCATTATAATTCACAAGCAATTGCTACCCATAACGGAAAATGTACTGTTTAAATCGATATTATTATGCAGCACGAGCGAGCTTATTAGAATTGAGACATCTTCGAGACACATGCATATCTGAAGTCATTTGCTCGCTGATGATGACAGCCTTGATTTTAATATGTTGGTGTTTTTGTTTTACTTTAGTAAGTTCCACTGTTTCCAGTTTCTCTATGATTTTTGCTGGCGGTTTAGTTTAGTAAAGAAAGATTTTTACTTTTGCCACTAAGAAATTTTATTGTGCGAGCGACGTTGGAATTATTACTGAACTTTTGGACGGCACCTCAACACTTCCCTATTGTAAGCTGTTTGTAAGTCATTCAACCCCCTTCTTGTCTCTTTACCCTTTCCTATTTTCTGTTTTTTCATATTTCCATAAAACCCTCAAAAACTACCATTAAACGGCACGTTTACCTACCATAACTACTGGTGCGATCTAAATCCTTTTTGGAATCGAGAAATACCCTTCCAAGAGTCCTGGAGTTTTAATGTGTTTTTTGCGTTGAAAAATAACAAGATTTTGTGTTTCCATATGTATCAAATTTGAATGCAGAACGTTATTTGGAAATTTTACATAATATTGTTGTTCCTACAACAGAAGATCCGCCTCTGCAGGAATATGTTGCTATGTATTACCAACAATCTTGTTCATAATTAATAATATTTAAAACAAACAAGTGATACAAAAACAAAAGAGCATCAGAAAACAAATTAATTATTCCTGTAACTGCTTTTCATTTGTTTCTTCGATTCCTGCTGTAAATTTTACGTTTTTGTTTAAATTTCCACAGCTACTGCGATCGGTTTTAAAAACATTACTTATTACTTTCTAAGGTATAATTATAACATATTTGATATCATTGTAAAGAGAATTTCAAGCTCGGTAAGAATATTACAGAAAAGCTTGTTTTTTAAATATGTAGCTTTAGCTTTAACAAAATTTGAAAGTATTCTACGATTGCAAGTCAAAAAACTGTAACTGAACAGTAATCGTTAACACTTAAAATACTCCACTTAATTTCAATGATGATTTGACATTTACATCTTAAGCAAACAAAGGAAAAAGTTGCATTTCATTGCACGAATTGTTCTCGTTAACGCAAACATTCAACACATTGTATGTGATAAATCATAATTAAAGTTTGTAAATTGTAATTAAAGGTCACGCTTTATTAAAGTGGAAATAAATGCAACCGCGAACGTGATTTAGATTGCATTACACCAGAAAAAGTGCGGGCTGGTGTAGTTAATTATTAACCAGCAGCAAAAAATCGTCAAAAAAACCCTTTCGGTAGTAGACCGAGACGAAATTGAAAAAATAGACGTTCACGTTATGGGTGTTTGGTTGGAAGCAATAAATAAGTTATGCGATGGTTAGACTTCAGTCATGCCTAAAAATTAACAGTTTAATGAATCAAAAATGGCCTCGAGTTAGCTTGTTAAATTAAACAGAAACAATCCCAAGGATACTTTATTATAGGTGCATCGGTCCTGTGATTTCATGGATTGAAAACTTCTTTCAACAGACCACGTTTTTTACAGTACATTTTATAGACTTTCAAAAAAAAATGTGAGAATTTACCAAGTTTTTTGCTTTTAAACTTTTAAACA